TTGACCCCAACATCGTGATATCATTAGTCCTCTTCAAGTATGAACAACAATGACAAAGGACTATCATCTGTTTATTTCTTGATGCAATGCTTTTGTTACTGTTACCCAAGATCACATTAACTTTTGTGTGCTATCATACTCCTGACACCTATTTGAGCTTAGAATGCACCAAAACTCCAAGATATTTTTCAGACAAACTACATTTTAGATTAAAACTTGTACTTTGTCATTCACACCATGTAGCATCAACGCACAACCACTTATCTTGGTGCACTTTACCCTAATTACATGCAAAGCACCTACAAAGGAAGAAAAAAGTTCTTGAAGTAGCGCCTTATATTCCTTTTGACCCAACAATACACTACTAGGGCCTAGCCCTAAGGAGATCAAAGAAAGAGGTAAAGGACCCACATAAACATAAATATTTATAGTAGTTCTTTTGGTGGTGGCACAGAACTGGAAATTAAAAGAGAATCCACCAACTTGGAAAAGGCTAAATAAAGTACAAGATATGAATGGAATGGAATACTATTGTGCCATAAGAAATGATGAAAGGGATAGCTTTAGAGAAACCTCAGAAGCCTTAAACTGATGCAAAGTGAAATAAGCAGATTCAGGAAAACAATTTATATGATGAGAACATTACAAAAATGAAGAATTTTTTTAAAACTTAAGAATTCTGATTAATGTAAGGACCAATCATGATTACAGGAAACTGATGAAGAATGGTATCTACCTCTTGAGAGAGATAATAAGCAGAAAGAATTTGGATGTAGACAATGTGGGAATTTGTATTTCTTAACTATACATATGTTACAAGGCCTTTCTTTTTCTTTTCATTTCTTTTCATTTAGTGGGTGGGAGACAAAACAAAAAGTCATTAATGAAAAAAAATCATGAGAGTGATGGTGATACAAAAAATGAAGAAAGAAAATCATATCAATGAATGTTGGAAAAAACATAGAGAAGAGGGCATAAAAAAGTTCAGAAAGGGACACTGACAATCAGGTCAGTGTCGGTGCTATCATGTTAAATTTATTATGTAATTAAACTGGGCAATCTCCTTTTTTCTCCTATACAGTATCCTTTTTTTCTCTACCCTGTATACGAAAATGTTCAGGTTTATGTTTTTATTGTTAATAATAAAAAAAGAGACTCTTTTTAAAACAACTGGGGCCTTCCTTGCAAAACTCAAAAAGCATGAAAGGGCAATAAAAACCACAACCCCACAAATGGAGTTGAAAGTAATAACATTCTTCCATATTATCAGACCTATGGCATATCACACCCATTTGTGTTATATATTGGATTTCTATCTCCTCTTGCCCCCTCTCTCCGATTTGTATAATTTGGAAATAAAACCATGGGTAGTGAAAACTGTTTTGAAATAACACTGGGCAATTTTAGTAAAAATAGCCATTCAATCCTTATCACCTAATAAAGGCAACTTTTGATAGGCTTCCACATTTCATTATTAGAACTGTCATTTCAGTAACTCAGAATGCCACAGTTCAAGGGAATTAGGCAATTAGTGCAATGTACACTATTAAGCAGAGTAGGCTGTATGTGTACAATTAAAATAAGCAAAATTACCAACCACAAAATTACCCAACTCTAGCTACTCATCAGCTATTTCTCAGTAATGGAAGATTGCTGTTGATCTGCTGTCTCCTCCAAAACCAATGAGTCAACTGGGCATCCTGTGTTGTTTCAAAGGACATTAACTAATTACCATCTCCTCTAAAAAAAAAAAGATCAGCTTAAAGAAAGTGAACCTTCATATTGCACTAATTAAGCAGAATAAGGAAACTGATTGTGATCTGCCCTCCCCCCCAGAATAGAAAATATTTCCTACACATATGTGTTATTCGAAGGGCACTGAAAGGCTATCTGGCCCCCACATATTCCTCAACTGAAATGTTACCATTAAAAGTCATTCTCATAGGAATATGAGTCATTTCCCAATTGATAAACATTTAAAGGATATGAAAAGGCAATATTTAGATAAAGAAATAAAAACAACTTTTAGTCATATGAAAAAATGTTCTAAATCATTATTGATTAGAGAAATGCAAATTAAAACAACCCTGAGACATCATTTTATACCTATCAGATTGGTTAAAATCATTGAAGGGGAAAGTGACAGATATTGAAGGGGATGTAGAAAATTGGGACACTAATTCATTGTTGAAGGAATTGTGAACTGATTCAACCATTTTAGAGAGTAATCTGGAATTATACCCAAAGAGTTATTAAACTGATTATACCCTTTGTCCCAGCAATACCAGTAGGTTTTTTCCAAAGATGACTATGGAAAAAGGAAAAGAACCTATATGTTCTAAAATAGTTATAGCAGCTCTCTTTGTGGTGGCAAGGAACTGGAAACTGAGGGGATGCCCATCACTTGGGGAATGGCTAAACAAGTTGGGGTATACAATTGTGATAGAATACTGCAGTGGTATAAGAAATGATGAGCTGGTTGATTTTAGAAAAACATAGATAGACTTGCATGAAATAATGAAGAGTGAAATGAGCAGAACCAAGAGAATATTGTATACAGTAACAGTAATATTGTTTTAAGAATAACTTTGAGTGGATAAGTAATTTTGATTATTATAAATACCCAAATTAACTACAAAGGGCATATGAAGGAAAACACTATCTGCATCCAGAGAAAGAACTGATAAATAGATGTATAGAATTATTTTACATATATATATATATGTATGTATTCACACATATTTGTGTCTAATGATAGCCATCTCTAGGGTGGGGGGAGGAGGGAAGAAAAAAAGGAAAAAAAAAGAAATTTACATGATAATTTTATTATATATTTTAAAGGAATAGCAAGTTGTATGTAATAGATTTTCAGTTTCATGTGCAATCATATTTTTAAAAATCATACTATGTTATGGAAATACTTGTTTTACTCCATAAAGAAAAAGTAAAATAAATGACAATTTAAAAAAGTTTTTCTCTTTATTAAAATGAGTTGTTCTCTGCATCCTTGTTTAAAAACAAATATGTAGGGGGGAAGTACAACGGAGAAGGGAAAGGGATATCTTCCTGGATTATTCTGGATCACTTGATCCTTCTGTCTTCTAAACTCCCACAGGACTTATTCTTTGGACTATTCATTTTGATATTTAATCACATAATGCCTTATATACTAGGGTGCAACAGAAGGACCAATGGATTTGACATTGACCCCCCCAGACCTCCCAGATTCAAACATCAACTTTTGCCTCTTGCCGCCTGTGTAGCTTAACACAAATGGCCTAAACTTTTTGAGCCCTAGCTCTATTTTCTATAAAATGGAGTTACTAAAGGTTATACTATCTGCTTCATATAGGTACTGTCGAAAAAGTGATTTGTAAACTTTAAACTACCCTAGAAATCACTTTATCATTATTGCTTTTTAAAAGCTTCATTTATTTATGTTTTGTCTTTTTAACGAGGCTAGTTCTTTGGGGACAGAGGCAGAACCTCACTTCTCTTTTAATCCCCAGAGTGTCTAGCTTGGTTCTGAGCACATAACTAACCCTCTATAAATGTCTGTTGAATTAACTATGTTTAGTTCCTTATCTGACCATGCATAGCTATGAATGTTCTCCCTCCTTATGTCTTCATCAACTCATTTCCTACTTCTTTCTAACTTGGACTCCAGAGATTAGCAAGAGAGTGTAAATGCAGAAGACAAAAAGAAAGTCATTAATTTGGGCCTAAGGAGTTAAAAAATACAGCTTTCAGAGAACTGAGATATAGAATGATAAAAATAAAATTGGAAAAATCCAGAAAGGATACAACTGTAACCCAAAGAATGCAGTCGTAACAATAATAATAGCTCTTGTTTGCGTAGGGCAACTGGGTGGCACAGTGCTGGACTTGGAGGCAGGAAAACCTGAGTTCAAATCTGGCTTCAGACACTTACTAGCTGTGTGACCCTAGGCAAGTCACTTAAACCTGTTTGCCTCAGTTTCAACATCTGTCAAATGATCTGGAGAAGGAAATGGCAAACCACTCCAGTATCTTTGACAAGAAAACCCCTAGGTGCTATTGTTTTTCCTATTTTACAGATAACTTACTTAGGATTTTGTATCTGAAACAGTATTTGAACTCAGGTCTTTGCAGATCACACAACATTAAAATTACAAGTGTGCATCAGTTTACACAAGAGTTATATTTAGTCATATACAACACATATGTTTAGACTTGAAACTATTATTATTATTATGGTTCAGACCTGTGATTTTATCAGTGTAGGAAACTTCTTGCCTATAAACTCCCCAAAATGATACAGATAAGCAGCTTGCTTTTTTTGGGGGGGGGGCAAGTCAATTGGGGTTAAATGACTTGTCCAGAGTCACACAGCTAGTAAGTGTTATGTGTCTGAGGCTGAATTTGAACTCAAGTCCTCCTCACTCTGGGGCCAGTGCTCTATCCACTACACCACCTAGCTGAACCTAAGTAGCTGTTTTGTAACGTATAATCTAGACTAGAGAATTGCTTCAGGCACAGAAATGTAAAGTGATTTGCCAGTGGTTACATAACTAGAGTATATAAGAGGTAAGACTTGAACCCAAGTTTTCCTGACTTCACGCAGGTTATCTGTGGACTAGCTATGTTGCTTCTCAAAATGAACCATCTCTTCCCTTGATCTCTATTTGCCTTAATCCACTGGAGAAGGAAATGGCAAACCATGCCAGTATCTTTGCCAAGAAAACCCCATGGACAGTATAGTTCACAGGATCATGAATAGTCAGACATGACTGAATGACAACCAGAGGTTCCAAAAGGAGAAAGTGAGGAGAAAGAGAATAAGAGAAAGTGGGACAGACTATGCAAAGACATGGAGGCAAAAGTTGGAATGTTATGTACAGAGAACAAAAAATGTCAGTTTGGCTGGAGCCTGCGTATGTGAAAAGGAGGAATGTATAGGTAGAAACCACTTTGTGAAGTGTCTTAAATGCCAACTGACATGTGTTTATATTTGATCCTAGATTCTTGAGCAGAAGAATTTACTGGTCAGACCTGTGGTTTATGAATATTATTTTGACAGCTTTGTGTAGCATGGATTGAAAGGGAAAGAGGCTACAGAACAGGTAAGTGGTGACCAGAGCCTGAATTAAGTCGATGGCCATGTGATTGAAGAGAAAGGATAGATGTTAGCGATGTTGTGGAAGCAGGACAACTCAAGACAACTTGAATTTAGTTTTTGGAAAATATTTTTTTTGATATAACAATCATCAATAATTTAATACATTTTGGATTTTTATATGTTAATTTTCTTAAAATAAGGATATACTTAAGAACATACACCGTTCTTCAGTTTAGTGCCATTAACGTGTATGCTACTCTACCTAACTATAGACCTCCACTAGAATGTTATCATTCCACTAGGTTTTAATTAAATATCATTACTATTCTTTCCTTATATAGTATGTTTAAAAAAACCTCAAAGATATATACATATATCTCTATGTATATATGTATAATATATGATACTATGTTATAATTTAAATATATATGTGTATGTATATGTATGTATGACTGTATATGTGTGTATATACACATACATGTAAATTATCAAGCATTTAGTGTCCCTCCATTTCTCACCCTGGGGGAAAAAATCAAAGCCCTCATAACAAAGCATACATAGTCAAACAAAAGAAATTCTTGCATTGGCCATGTTCAAAAATAGATGTCTCTTTCTGCCTCTTGAGTCTAACATGTTTCTGTTAGGTGGAGGGTAGTCTTCTTCACTATTGGTCCCCTGGAATCCTGGCTAGTTATCATGTTGACTGGGGTTTTAAGTCTTCTATAAATCTTCTATTTTGTTTTACAATGTTGCAGTTATTGCTATTAAAAAAAACCCAACAAAATAATTACCTTTAAGAGTGAAACTGCACTTTATGCTGTGGAATAGGTAGGAGGAGAATGGGAGTATCTTTTCTCTCCCTCATTCTTACTGTCCTGGCTACCTAAGCAGCAATAGTTTCAAGGGCATTTTTTATTCAATCAAGTGGAAATTATCCTCTAGAGATTTAGTCCTATATTTACTCTTTGCACAGAAAGCATCTCTGCAATCTCTTCTTACGTCAGACACGAAATAGGATTCAACCTTGAGATAAAGGCAGCATCTCTAGTAGTACAAGGATCATTCAGTTACTAGGAAAATAGAACCAAACCTATCAAAACATTTCATTGTCCTTATCCACGAGATATTCTGTAGACATTTAGACCATTTAGACCAATTGATTGATCAATTGATAAGATGCTCTGAGGATATTTAGTGGGTTGAATTTTCAATTTTTCTTTTCAATTATTTCAAAGTTTCATTTTCCTTTCAACCACTAGGCTAAGGGAGGTATCATTGTAAGACATGACACAACGTATATTGAAGGGCCAAGTACAAGCTCTTACTCATCCCAACAACTCCATACTGTTTAATTTATTGTTCTTAGAAAAAAAAATCATTTTTCCTCTGTTTTATGGCATCATCTGCAAAAGGCAGTGTAAGCTGCAGTCACTTTGTGGTATTGCCTCAACTGTGGTAAGCCTTCTATTCTCTTAGAAAGGGTTGTTTGTCTGAATGGAGGATCATTTTAAAAGACTATTTCATTTCCTCATTTCCATAAATATAACTCTACAATAAACATCTCACAACCCACCAGAAAAAAAGATTTCTCCTTCACCCCTTTTGACCCTGTCTATGAGTTATTACTTACACTTCCATTTTGAAGAAAGGACCAGATCAGCCATTTTTTATTCTCCACACTTTGCCACTAGGCACCCATGAGTATACTTTTGACCCCTTTTTGATCTGCCTTTTATGTGTTATCTTTCCCCATTAAAATGTAAGATCCTTGAGAGTAAGGAATGTCTTTCTTTTTGCTTGTATTTGTATCCTTGGTGTTTATTTAGCACACAGTACCTGGAATATAGTAAGTATTTAACAGATGTTTGTTGTTGTCATGGGGAAAGAAAAACACATGCCACTGCGTAAATGTGCCAGAAAATATAACTATGTTGCTGAAAAGAGATTAGACACAATATTAACATACCTCCTATCCTACAACTCAAACAGCAGGGGCCAATTCGGGTTTTGTCACATCAACATTCAATGAACACACATGTTTAAGAATAGCAACTTTGCAAAGTCAATAACCTTACCATACTTGAGACAGGTAGACCTAAGATATATAGTTTATTTAAGGTCCATATGTCCCAGAAATTCATTCGTTGCCAGCTGTCAGTCTGACAGAAGGCAACAAAGGGTATGTACCCAGGATATACACAGAGCAACATGACACATGAATAGATCTCTAGGGACATTTTAGATGTTTCATGGTGCCATCTGTCACCATAATTGAAAAGCATTTACTAAGAGTCTACTGAGTATGGACATGGCACTATTCTAGACACCTGTTGTTGTTGTTGTTATTTTTTTCTCAGTTCCTGACAGGAAATAACCTTCACAGCTGCAGAGTACAAGGCTGCCTGAGCTCTAGAATGCTGCTTCACCAAGAAAGGCCACTTATGTAACTAAAGCCCTGTAAATATTTGAGGCTCCACTGGCTCTTCCAAGGAAACTGGTTCATCACACCAATATGTCTTTCCAATAAAACAAAATCCTGGGACCAAGTGCCAGAGGACAAAAATCCTAGCATATATGTACCCTATGTCAATAATAAGTGGAGAAGAAAAAGGATTGCTTTTAGACCATCCATCTAGAGTTAAGTAATTAGAAATAGAGGTACTTCTACCCCTAACTCCAAAGGATTCCTTAGGCTATAATTTCAGGAAAATAATTTCCTTATCAATAATGATATCTCAATCATGATAAATCACAATGGTAATTCTGTCTGTTGTATTCTGGAGAATGGGTGATAACACAACTGAGGAACACATAGTATTACTGACTTCAGAGTAGTTCAGAATCATATGGTTCCAATATTTAAATCTCACCATCAAATGGCACTTTTTCTCTAGTATTGGTCTCTTTAGACCTACATTCAAAAAGGTTTTACATTAAGTCTATTTTTAATAAATGGCTAAAGAATCCCCCTTCCCTCACAAAAATCAACACCCACTGACCTACATTTTTCTTGTCTTTGTAAATGATAAAATGGCTGGAGGTGATGCCATATCTGTACAAGTACCCTCTACTCTCGCTAGTTATCAACTAGGTTCTTGGTCACTGTACAAATAAACTAGTCACCATAATAGGTACTCTTGGTATATAGCTTCAGGACCCTGGTCAACTCAAAGGCTTATCCTGGGGATCTAGTCAGTTATCAAAGTGGACCAAAGTAAATGGTGTGCCCTTTGTTCTGCCCAGGTCATCTATTTGGGGAATTTTTACAGGAGGGGATGATATCCAGATAGACAGGGAAGGTCTAAAGGCTTGCTAGGGGTTCTGATTAGTCACAAGTAATTTCTAGGTAAGTTAGGTTGAACCAGTAACCAGATATGACCAGTTTATAACAAACAAAAAATTTGCATGATTCCAGGGGACGAAAAAGAGTTTACAGGGGTTGTGGGCTACTGCTTATTTTTCCTCTCCTGTTCTTCCAAAGTATAGAAGATGAGAGCAGGGCTAAGAGACATAGAATAAGCATGTAAAAGAAGGTAACCACTATGGCAAAGGACCTCAAGTTCATGCCATCTGAGAATTCTTTAAATGAACTGCATATGTTTAACTTGAGAAGTGAAAACTTTGGGAAATCATGATAACTATCTCTAAACATTTGAAGAGCTATCATATGGAAATGAGATTACACATGTCCTGCTTGGCTCTGAGGGCAAATGTAGGTGCGATGAGAACAATGAATCTGGAGTCAGAGGACATAGGTTCTGGTGCTTACCTGCGTGACTTAGGGCACATTACTTAACTTTCCTAGGCCTTAGTTTTTTCATTTATAAAAAAGGATAAAGTTGGACCAGATAGTCTCAGACATTCCTTGAATCTCTAACCTAGAGAGGTAAATTGAGGCTTGAGTCAGGTCTAAATTCCTAAGGAATGACTTCCTAACAATTAGAGCTATACAAATTTGGAATGGGCTTACCCTGGGAATGATGGATACATTCTTGCTGGCAGTCTTCCAGCAAAGGCTGGATGATCATTTGTGTATGTTTTATTTGGTATTCTTTTCAGGTATGGGTTGGAGAGCCACTGATGTTCTTTTCATATAAAAAATCCTATGATTCTATAGGATAAAATTATATCCTTGGCTCCCCTATTTGTTTTTATAACTCAGTTTGAAAACTTTGGGAAGAAATTGAAACCTCTGACCAGAAATAGAGAAGAAAGAGAGAAAAAAAGCATCTCTGTAAAACAGTGGATGTCTACTAAGGGTGTCATCAGCATAGGCAATGGATAAGAGAAATCATAAGTTTTTAAGAAAGAAAAATGGTCTTAGACAAAGCAGTGATTTTGTGAATTCCTCCCTGTTTTTCATCATCTCATGCTGAACTTAAGAATCCCAACAAATCTTGAAATGAAGCATGTATAACATGGGATAAGATTCTCTTTCAAAAGTTTCCTTCCCATTAATATCAGTTAGAAGAACATAATAATAAGGAACCCTTTTTTGGGGGATTATAAAACCTTCAGACAAATCAAAACAAAACAAAAAACCTTAACCATGACTTTATGTGTATAGATTCCCCAAAATATCAATTTAATATGTGTTTAATAACAGTAGCAACAATAAGAAAGACATGATATTTCCATTATGTCCCTGTGGACATTGTCAGCTTTATAGAAAATCTCCGCAATATCTAAGACTTTTTAAACTTACCTTTCCATAGGAACCTTGCCCTAAAACTTTCAGAAGCTCAAATTGGGAAGGGTCTGCCTTTTCAAATCCTTCTTTTACATGATGACTGATGTCAATTTCCTTTACAATACCTTCTTCCTGCAAGAGAGAGGGGGAAGCACATATTATAAATAAAACAAACTAGTTTTATTATCATTTTAGTGTAACATATTATATTCAAGAGGAAGTAAGGAAAACAATTTCTTTCCTTATCTAAGAAACAGAATTTGCTGGTAGGAAAAGACAATGAATCTTAACCTTAAAACATAGAAGCAAATTGT